CCTTGCTCTCCTATAGTCTTTCACAACTCAGATACAGCAACTCCATGCTCCTCATTACTCACATCACAATTACTCAATCATTCCTGACTCCCTCCCCTTTTTACCCTCACACCCATATCTACTACATCAGACACTCTTTTCAGATCTACTTCAAAACACAGCCACTGCTACAACGCTGTCCAAGACAAACATCTCTTATCTGAATTATGGAACTAGTCTCCTAACTGGTTTCCCTGCTATTACACTTGCTATTCTACAGTCTATTTCCACAAAGCAGTCAGAAAGATCGTTTTAAAATATAAGTTAAACCATGCCACCCATCTATTGAAAGCTTTCCATATTATTTAGAGTAAAAGCAAAAGTCATCTGTTAGCCCACATGGCCCAGAGTGATTTGTAGCACTCCCTTCCCCCACCGGCCTTGACCCCATCTCCTCCCAACTCTCCCCTTCCTTCTCTATGCGCTATAGTTTGAATGTATCCACCAAAGTCATGTGTTGGAAACTTGATCCTCAATGTGGTGGTGTTGGGAGGTGGGGCCTAATGGGAAGTATTTGAGTCATGGGGCACCTCCCTAATGAATGGATTAATGTCATTATCTTGGGAGTGGGCTTATAAAAGGATGAGTTCCCTCTCCGCCACCTGTCTTCTCTTGCCCTTCCACCTTCCACCATGGGATAACATAGCAAGAAGGCTCTCAATAGATGCTGGCCCCTCAGCCTTGGATTTCTCAACCTCCAAAACCATGAGCCAATAAATTTATGTTCTTTATAAACTACCCCATCTGTGTTATTCTGTTATAGCAGCACAAAATGGACTAAGACACTATGCTACAGTCACGATGGCCTCTCTGTTTTTCTTGAAGACACTAAGTAGGCTTGTCCTCAAGCCTTTTGCCCTTGCATTTCTCTCTTCTTAAAACCCTGTTCCCTCAGGTACTGACATATCCTTCAGGTCTCTGCTAAAATGCCATCTTACCAGAGAGGCTTCCCCTGACCACCCAAATAGAGTCCTGTACAAACCATGCTTCTCTGTCACTCTCGCCTGCTTCATTTTTCCCACTACTATCCATCATCTCCTGACATGTACTTATTTATTTGTCTCTGTCCACTAGAATGGAATTTCATGAGGACAGGGATGTGGTCTGATTTTTTGATTTTTTGTTGTTACTATTGAATCGCCAACGCCCAGGAAAGTGGCCAGCATATAGTTAGTTCTCAGTAAATATTAGTGGGATGAATAAACACATGGATGAAGAATGATGGCAGTATGTATCACAACAGTGACAGTGGAGATGTGTGGCAGCCAGCCTCCAAGACTTCAGCTTCTGGAATTCATGCTCTTACATAAGCCCCTTCTACAGTTTACAGGCGACCAATATGTATAACCAATAGTAGAAATGACAATGTGTGACTTCCAAGGCAAGGTCACAAAGGTTATTCTGGCTTCTACCTCGTCCACTCTCTTAGATCGCATCATGACATGAGGACACTCAAGCAGCCTGTGGAGAGGCCTGTGCAGGAAGGAATGGGGGGGAGGCTCCTGCTAAGAAGCAGCACCATGAGAGTGAATTCTTATGGAAGCAAGACTTGAATCCTAGTCAAGCCTTCAGGTGAGTGCAGCCCTGGCCAACATCCTGACCATAACTTCATGGGAGAACCCGAGCCAGAGCCCTCTGACTGTGCTGCTCCCAAATCCCTGAGCCACAGAAACTGTGTGAGATAAAACATGTTGATTGTGGCTGTAAACCACTAAATTTCAGGGTAATCTGTTATGCCACAGTCACCATGGCCTCTTTGTTGGTTCTCCTTGGAACTTTTGCACTTGCTTTTCCTTCTGCATAAATCTTTGTTTCCTCAGACAGTTATATGTCTTAATCTCTTACTTTCTTCAAGTCTTTGCTAAAATGTCATGCTATGCAGCAGTAGATAACAAATACAGGATGTGTTTGAGATATCCAGGAGGTAGATGCAACAGGATTTAGCAATTGATTGGCTATCAGGGATAAGAGACAGAGGAAAGAGTTAAAATGATTCTTAAAGTATTGGCTTGTGTAACTAGCTTGTGACATTCTCTGATTTAGAGAAACAGGTTGGGGGCAGAGATTGTATTAATAAATTTGGTTTTGGACCTGCTAAATTTGAAACATCTAAGACATAACTAAGTGGAGATGTCCAGCATGCAGGCAGATACACCATCTGCAACACAGAAGAGAGATCTGGGCTGGAAATAAAGATCTTGAAATCAGGGCCAGCTACCCCATTTTCAGGGTCCAGTGCAAAATGAAAATACAGGGTCTTTTGTGCAAAGAGCACATGAGGCCCACCAGCTGCCAGGCCACCCTACAGCTAGTTCCAGGATTGACAAATCATGCTCTGGCTGGGGGCAGGAAAGTTGAGCCGGATATTTCCCCTTCCCACTGGCTTTCTGCTGCAACCCACATTGGAGGGACAACCTCCAAGAGATTAGAACTTCTGTGCCAGCATGCACTTACATAGGGCTTGGGCAAAAGGCTCTCCCTGCTGAGTCTCCCACTGGGAGAATTTCAAGATGGCAACCACAGACCATTAAAACCCTAAGTGTTAGGCCTTACTGAGTTAGGACCCTGTGTGAATGCACTGTTTGAATGCCCATGAAACTGGCCCTGCTTGGAACAGATGGTAAAGGTATAGGACTGAATGAGTTCTATATGGAAAGATAAGAAGAAAAGAGGCCCAAGAACTGAAGCTAGAGAAGCACCAACATTGACAGGATAAACAGAGTAGCCTGGTGGCCAAAGGTTGTAGTTAATCAGAAGATAAATGAATGAGAAAATATTTGTTCTGTGATCCCTGACTTGGAAGTGCTTTGCAAATGCAAATAACCTGGCCATACATTGTTAAGAACATTTTATTTCACAAAGTATTTTTGATATGGATGATAATTCTTCAGGGCCAACGGTGTGGTTCTTACACAGGCCAATTACCTTGATTATTTTTGAGGCATATATTGCTCAGTTGGAAAAAAAATGTATGAGAGAAGCTGTAGGGAATTAAATGGATTAGAGGAAAGAATGGAACTTACTAATAATAGACTCACAGCTAACCTAAGTAAATAATTCATTTCCCTTCTAGCAACAGTTACCTTTACATATAAGACCAGCAATGTCTCTTTGTAACATTTATCAAGCAAGAAAAATGTAAACTCTAAAGTCATTCCAAATGACTCATTGAAACTTGCTGCAACATCAACTACAGTAATTTTCTAACTACAAATTAACTTTGATCAAAGTCTTAGTACACAAAAATCAGAACATTTGGTAAGAGAACTGTGGCAGTGAGTTGATGAGACTTTTAGAGTTTAGAATTGGTGAAAAAAAAAAATTTTAAAAATGGGTTTGGAAATGTCTCTGGAGGTGGTTTACCAAGTGGATAAGAACACAAATTCTGGAACAAGCTGCTTGGGTTTGAATCCCAGCTCTATCACTTACTCCATCCCTGTGTGATTTTGGACAAGCTACCCAATCACCTGGTGTCTGAATAAAAGGGTGATAACAACTCCTAGGGTTGTTATGAGGATTAAATGACTGAATGTTTGTAAAACATTTAGACCTGTACCTAGCATATAAAAAGCACCATATAAGCATTTGTTAAATGAGAATTGTGAAAACTGATCAGGTAACCAAAATACATCTGGAGTTTCTACTTTAGTAAGTTTCACAAGCTCAGGGAAGAGAATTCAGTGAAGGAAAACAATCTCCTGTCCTCATCAGAGTACTGCATTGTTTTCTCTTTATAAGCAAAATAATTCTTTTTATTCAAAAAAGTACCTTAAGAAGCAAATATAGTATTTCCTGGATATTTTCTTAAAAGTAATTTCATCGTGTCTTTTAATGCACATTCATGGCTATTTTCTCACTTAATATTGGTCTTAATGTTTTCTTTCTTTCATATAGAACATTAAAAATAAATATATATGGGAGAATAAAATGCACAGATTTCGTGGTATTGTAATAATCCTGGTACTTCAGTGGAAAAAGCATAAACAATTTCAATGAGCAGCGTTAGACAATAATAAATACAACGAAGATTTCAAACACACCTTCTAGCCCCTTTGAGAAGTCAAAATTGACTCATCTGAATTCACCACCTTTTTTGAAAAAAGTTCTGTAGACACACAATCCAAGGAACCTGCAGTTTAAACTACACCAAGGGTCTTGAAAAATATTAAATACCTTTGTATTTGTCCCATTGCTCCCTTTGGTCTCTAGAAATGCATTTTTTAAAAACTGTGCCTTAATTTTGTTTCCTCTTGTTATGATAGTTTTCCACATTGCTTTAGAGAAGAATTCACATCTAACTGTACTGGTCTTCCGCTTTTTGGCCCTGACACGGAGGACCGATTTCCATTGTCCAAATGGGCTGCCCGCTAGGGCGACTATCTCACGACCACTCCTTGTGTGTGCCCGTGAGGGCGGGGTAGAGGGCGCTTCTCTCGTCTCCGCAACCTCGATTTATGCGGAAGTCCTGCCTTTGTGCACACGTTTGTTTAGAAGATTCTCTCTCTCTCCTGTCACTAATTCTTTACGAGTTTTGCCTCTTTTTTGCCCCTGTAATCTTTATCTTCTGTAATCTTACAACCTTCCCCTACAGATGACACTTTACCCCACTTTGGAGTTAGTAATTTACTTAAAGATCCCCTATTATTAGCTCCACGTTGCCTCTAAACGCCCTTCAAACGTGGTCGCCTTCAGGGTTCTTGTGAGCTGAAGCAGCATTTTTTCCCTCTCCAGTGTCAGATGTCAGAGAAAGCAAGCCCCAGTGTGTGTCAAAATGTGACCTTAGAACCCAAAGCGGCCCCGTTTGGGGGCAGCGTTTGGGGAACCCTGTCCACCGCAGCCCTCGCGCGAGCCCGCCTTCCCCTTGCGCGAGTTCCCCCGCGAGCAGGACGCAATCGCTAACTACACCCTCTCGCCTCCCGACTTCCTTCTGGGCGCCTAATAAAACCCGGGGAAGTTTAATCATTCCGCAGCGAGCTCGCCGGGCTCACTGGGCATGCTCAGTCGCCGCCGCGCTGGGCTGGCGAGAGGCTTCCTCGGGCGCCGGGCTCGGGTCTGCGGCCGCCTTGGCTCGGCTTCCCCGGGCGCGGGCTGGACAGAGCGGCCCTTGAGCCGAGAGACACGCGCCCCGCCGGCCCCCGCCGCGGTCCCCGGGAGCGGTGCTTCGCTCCGGAGCCCCCAACCTCGCGCCAAGTTCGGAGCCGCCTTCTGGGGGAGACATGCAGAAGATAACCAGGAACGTTCTGCTAGACATGGAGGAGGAGGAGGACGACGAGGACGATGGGGATATCGGTGAGTAAGGGGGCCCCCGCGTCTCCATCCGAAAGCCCGAGCCAATGCGGCAAGGAGTTCGGGGACTGCGCGGGGGCGCTGGACTCTCTGCGGGGGAGGTTGGCCGGGACCCTCGGCCGCGCCGGGAAGGGTGCAGGGAGCCCGCCAGTGCGGCCCGCCCGCCGGCTCAGGCCCGGCTGCGGCCCCGGGGGGCGCGAGAGCGGTCGCCCCGAGGATAGTCTCTGGACGGGAAAGGGGTGCAGCCTCTGAAAAGTCACGGCGGATACGGGGGCGCCTCTGCGTGTGGAAGTCTCCACTCAGAAGCAACTTTTGGGTCATTTCCTCCGCCTCCCACTAGGCTGGGTATTGCAGAGATTCCGGGCGCAGGGGCGAGCCCAGAGGCGGGTCTCGGAGAGCGGGCCCGAGTTTGGCGAGCTGGGTGTGACCCACCTGAATCCTCTTTAAAGTAAAAGCAAACCGAACGTCTGGGAGGGTTGGGTTGGGGCGGAGCGGCCGCGGAAAGTGATTTGTGTCCGGTAGGCGCGGGCTGGGTACCTTTTTCCATCTGCAGAGCCCGCAGGGGAAGTGATCGCAGAGGAATGCCTCTGGGAGGGTGGACCACAGGGCATTTTCTACTCCTCCTGACGGGCTCTGGAACTTGGGGAGCCAGCCTGGGCTACCCCATTTCTAGTTAGAGTTAAAAATGCATGGAAGTGGTAGGCGCAACGAAGGAACAGCTGCTTAAGAGTGATAAAGCAAACAAAAAGGGTGGGAGGAGTTGAAGGGGAAACGTATGGGAGGAGTAGAGAGAAAATCAGGTCCCTAAAGACAACACTGACTAGGAATGATGACATATTAGGTCCCTCCAGAAGACTGTAATTAGATTACCATGCCGGTCTGTTGTGGCGACTCCAGCTCAGTCGCCACAGCTGGATGGCAAATCAATTTTAAAGCAGAATAGTTCCTGCCCATGACCTAAAGCCCTGTTCTTCTCTGATAACTTTAAAAGTAACTTAAGGAGTCGAGTGTGGTTTTTCTTTCACATTTTAGATACTGATCATTTAAATCGGAAGAATTTGATAACTTCCTGGTTGTCCTGGTACGAATTGAATATAGGGGATCACACTCCATGGCTTAGTTTTACCTTTCATTTGTTTGAGAACAATTTCTTAGGTATTCATCCTTACGGAGGGAGCAAAATACTGAAGCTAACGGGTTGATATGCCTAGGTTCTCACACTTTCAAAACCAGGTTTTCTGACTTGCAAGACCAGTGCAAATTAATACCCTTTCCACCTGGTCACTCTGGCTGTCATAATATATGATACTCCTCTTTAGCAAGATTTAGTAAGGGATGATTACATAAAAATAGAAATCATAGTAAAGTTAAAGTTATAATAAAATTAGCACAGGCTGTTTCCCAGGAAAATATTCTTGTCTGTTGGGGTGAGGTGTCACTGTTTATATTGAGTATTGTAAATAAATGAGGGTAAAAGTGAACATGAAAATTGAAGTAAGCAAGAGCTTCTGAGCTTTATATGTTCCACTGTGTCATCAACAGATCTCAGTTTAGAAAGAACTAATTTGGTCTAGTGTGTGTTTACCTAATGAGGTATTATAAAAATTCTTCTTAAGTTTGCAGCAATAGCTCTTTTTATTTTTAATGACAGATATATTATAATTCATGCTCGTTCTATCAAGTCAAACAGTGGATATATAAGAAAAACTTAAATATCTCTACCTTTCCTCACCCCACCCTTCAGAAACTACTAATATTAATACTTTAGTATGTATAGGGGTCAACTCAACATGTTTTATGTCAACAGATATCATTTAAACGTATCTCAGCAATTTTTGGTGGTTCGTTTTGGGTATAAAAATTCACTATGGGTTGCAATGATTTTATATCAGAAAATGTTTTACCATGCCAATGTAAAGTTATGCCATTATAAAATAATAAGCTTTTTAAAATGTTACCAGAAGTAGGCTGATAGTGGTGCAGAGCCTTTTACAAAATAATTATGATTTCCAATTGTGGAAGAGGAGATTGGGGAAATGAAGATTATAATTTTAACCTTTGCTCTAGTTTTGTAATGCAGGGCTATGTTAAAGCTATTGACTAATACATTTCTCCAACTACTTGATTGTCACTGCCAATAGTTGTATAATAGCTTAACACCCACTTGGGTACTGAAGATCTCTGTAAAATCCCTCTGTAAGTATTAACTTTGTAATTCAGAGCAGGATAATTATTTTGACACAAGTTCTTGGATATATCAACTGACATTATCTTGGCCTAATTTGCAAGAGACGAAAAGAAAAACTTTTCTGATTAGATGTGGTCCCTGATTACCTCATGGAGATGTTTTAGTGCATATATGGAAGTGTGCCCTCTAGTAGGCTGGGATTTAGGGCCTTTTTAATGGTGGGTTCCTGCTTACTTTTGAAGCACTGTTCAGTACTTTTAAGTGTCAGGATTGTCTCCTAGTTTAGGTAAACTGATCTGGAGAATCAAAGATGGTAAATCTCACCATGGGTGTCTTTCCCTTGTTTGCTTAAGTCATGGCCACCAGAAATTATGCCCAAAGGTTTACTCATGAGGCAACCTATTGACATGAAAACATTTTTGCAAAAGGCCACTTATTTTCTAGTGCAACTCCAACAACCAACCACAGAAGTTATATCCAGGCAGTAGTGTCAGGAAATTTGTGGCTTGTAGCCCTTGTCGCGCTGGCGGAGACCACATGTCTTTGCCAGCCCTTGGGAGGCAGGTTGCATACTCCACTGCCTAGTGCACAGAAGAGTATCCTTGGCTGCTTTGTGTCCAGTCCCCACCCCCCGCCAATTAATCAGTGAATTAAATTCATCTTTTTCTGTTGATGTAGAAAGCGATAGAAACATTTTATAGCCAGAATGTAGAAATCAGATTAGTATGCTGTTTATTTTGTTTCTTGCCTTCTCTATGGTTGAACTTTGCTGATGAAGGAAAAGTGGTTCCAAAAAAGAAGGGAACTATCAGGGAGTACTCAGATTGTTCAGACAAAGAGGTTTTGTTTACATGGTTGTTTGGTTGCTTTGGTTTCTCAGTCTGTTCATGGTAAAGCTTATTCTCTGATTCCTATCACTAATGGTCATGTCATTGGGGGGTAGATAGAGGCCATGGTCTATTATCTCTGAGAGCCAGTGGTCCAACTGTACCTCTTAAGTGCATTTATTGGCTCCCTTTTCACTATTACATTTTGAGATAGACTTATCTTTTCATACCACCTCACCTCATTACCTGCTTCATGTTTAATCACCTGCAAATCTGGTCCTAACTCTAGATTTGCTTCATTAACATCAATTGAGCAATCCTGCTGTGCTAGGTGCAGGATTAGTTGCTGGGTTAGCTGTTGGGAGACTAAAAATGAGTAAGACATACCTATGTCCTCTAGGAGGAGGGTTCCTTGGAACCAGACTATGATATTGTGACATACATATGGTATTTGGTTTTCCTCCAGTTTCCTGGCATACAACTCCTTGAAATTTTCAAAGTGATCAGTGTCATTTTATATGCTAATAAGTTGACTGGTGGCTGGCAGCCCCTACCTAGGTAGCTTCAGGATTGGCGCTGGTCACTGCAAAGACCAAGGCAGGATTAGAGGGTTGGGACTTTCAGCCCCACCCCTCAAACTCCAGGGAGGGGAGAAAAGAGCTGAAGGTTAAGTTGATCACCGGTGGCCGGTGATTTAATCAATCATGCCTGTGTACAGAAGCCTCCATTAAACCCAAAAGTTCTGTGAGCCTCTCTACCAAATCAATAGAACCTAAGACAGGGTTGTAGGAACCCCAATTTACAGCTGGTTGGTCACAAGCACAGACAAAACAACCTGCATTTTTAATTAGCATTGGAAGTGGGGGGAAGTCTTGTGGGACTGAGCCCTCAACCTGTGGAATCTGGTGCTATCCTCAGGTAGATTGTATCAGAATTGAATTGATTTAGGGGACACCCAGCTGGTGTCCATTGCTGATGTTACAGCCTTACCAGGTTCATTGCCCACTGCACTAGAGGAAGCCAATGCACTGAGACAGCAGGGTTATAGCAGAGAAAGAGTTTAATATCACAGGTGCCATGCGAGGAGGTGGGAGGAAGTTCTCAAATCTGTTTCCCCAAGAACTTGGGAGAAAGGGTTTTTAAAGATAGTTTGGTGGATAAAAGGCTAGGCAATTGGATCTGCTAATTGGCTTGGTTCTGGGAGGAGCCATAGGGGTGTAGAAATTGTCTTCTTCGCTGAGTCAGTTCTTGGATGGGGGTCACGACCAGTTGAGTCAGTTCCTTGGTATGGGTCTGGGTGGGTCAGCCGTCCCGCTGGAAGGCAGGGCCTGGAAGATATCTCAAAAACTAGCCTTAGGTTTCACAAAGGTGATGTTATCCATGGGAGCAGTGAAGAAAGCTAAGAATCTTTATGACCATCAGCTATATGACTCCTGAGTAGTAAGCAATTATAGGAAAGCAAGCTAGGGAACAATGGCTGGAGATATATAGATCATTTCCTCTACCACAGTACCCACATTGTGGCCCTTTATTAATTTTATGAAGGACGGTTTCACTGAAGGACTACTTCCTTGGTGTATGGGGTGGGGAACCCCACACATCTGGTCATAGAAGTATTCGTGTTGATTGCATTGCAAGAGTATAGCAGGAGAAACTGAGTTTGTTTTCCTGTATTAAATATATCATCAGACAGACATTTTCAGTAAGTGCCATTATTGAGGTACATACAATGTGGGAGGAAGATGGGAGAGAGTTTCACAGTAGAGATTGTTGGGCCACGTGTTGAAGGACCAGGCAGGTGCAATGCACGGAGTGCCTGAGGACAGTCTGGAGTTCTGAGTAGTTGCCTGTGGTGGAAGGCTAGGGAGGAGGGTGCAGCTACACCATGAAGAATCCTCCACACACTTTAAGGATTTTGAATTTTACCCTATACGTGGTTTGGAGCTCCTGAAGGATTTTAAGGAAAGAGGTGATAGGATTGGATTTGC